TGGTAAAGAGTCACGAGCCGACTAGGTGAAATATCTATTGATGTGCCCTTGACCAAGGCACTTTACCCTATTTGCTCATGTAAGTCGCTCTGGATAAGAGCGTCTGCTAAATGACTATAATGTAAATGTACCTTTTTTTAATCAGGATGTGGGGACTGTAGGCACCAAAGGGAGGAGGGGGTCTGTTCTTTGGTCTTAGGGAACTGCAGGGAGCCTCGGGTGTGTCACGTTCGTTTAAGGACGGGTCAGACCAAGGCGCAGCGTGAAAGGCATACATGTTTATTTCACCGCTAAACACGCGAACAAAACAACAAACCAACGAAACGTGAAGTCCTAAGGCTAAACACAATACAAGCCTCTAACACGGAACAAGATCCCACAACTAGTGATTGCCAATAGGCTGCCTATGTATGATCCCCAATCAGAGACAACGAGCGACAGCTGTCTCTGATTGGTAATCACACCCGGCAAAACATAGAACTACAACACCTAGGACGTAATCATAGAAATAACAACATGGAATTCCACACCCTGACTCAACATACTAGAGTCCCATAAGTCAGGGCGTGACAGGGTGTCTCTCAGGGACTGATGTGAAACAGTTGAGTTGGGTAGAGAAGAAGGGTACACTGACCTACTTTACAGCAATGACACAACCACAACACTCCCTATAAACACAAACTCCAATAGTGATCATCATCACTTACATATCAAATATCCTTCCCCTGCTATCTCTGAACTTAAACATGACCACCATCACACTATATAGGCAACATGCACTAATACAAACTCTAGATCTATGACACAAGCACTGGCTGACACCAGGGCACTTACAGCATACCCCAGGTACACCTTATCTAACTTACTAACCCTGTTAATATCACATCAGCCTCCTATAATAACAGGAGCCAGAGTTATGCATGAAGATCTTTAACACAGACAAAGACGCAGTGGATCCGTTGCACAGACCCACGTGCGGCTTAGAGGGATCTAGATTAGTGATATTAGTGAGCTGTTATTACGGGGGTGTACTTGTAATTACAGGGTTATAGATTACATATTAGTGATACGAGTTTAAAGGTAGTCTTACAGGGTATATGAAGGAAGGAAGATTTAGTGAAATCTTAGATAACAGAAATTACTTATATATGATGTATTTAGTAAAGTATTTTCTGCCTTATAAGAACATTGAGCTTTTGACAGGAGAGCGCACAGTATAGCGGAGATTGCATCTCGCATGTGGTAGACGTATTGCAGTGTAATGGTGCGCGTGAGTAAGGCTGAGTGTGTGAGAGAGAGAGAGGTTTTCATCTGTGCATCTCTGGGAAAAGACTAGTGCTTTAGGAGGAATGGCAAAGAAGAGGAGGGCTAATCAGAAACAGTGCTGCCTTTGGCTGCCCAGTCCCACAGAAGCTCTTCATCCTCTCCTGAGAACAAACAGTACCTATCATATTACATATAGTACATCTGATTATATAAAGTTGACACCAAACACATTATCATCTTCAACAATAACTAAGAAACCTATTCTGACAGACATATAATCTCATAGAACATCGGATTATCAACAACAATCTGTTTATCCAAGGATATGCATATCATCTGAATATTGAGAGCTGCTGGAAAACTAATTATCAACAACACCTGTACACATTATTACAAGCGTACAAGGGAGAGATGTCCACTGATCAGACTAGTGACGGATCAGACTGATTGCTTCCTGTGTGGGTGTCAATCACCATCAGATGAGGCTGCCAATGAGGCATCATCATAGGGGTTACCTGTCACCTGTTCACTAATTAACTTCAACTCAGAGGGTCCTGGAAGGATACAGGCCATCTCCAAACCATGTCCTAAGAATGAACACTGCCACCAACACCCCAAAGGGGTCACATAGGTATGAGTTGTGTCTCTGCAGACTGACCAGAACAAGGTCAACTACCGCTATATAACATGTACTAACTGGGTACAGGATTCGATAGGATGCTCATTGCTCATAACAGAACATACTTAGAGTTAACAATGCAACATTTCTAGAGTAAGAAGAGAACCTGTCACCCTGGGAGGGACTGTTGTCTTATTTCCCAGGGCAGGTGAAGTCAGTGGGATAACTTTCAGTCAGATACTAGCATGCCTGTCTCTGCTCCATGTAACGTGAGAACACCTACAGCAATGTTATTTACCAGCACATACTGTACTGCAGGGTCCCCCAACTGGTAGTAATTTTGATCCCTGCTATACTGCATCCTTCCCTTTTGAAATATGATCTTTAAACTACCTCCAGAAGGTGTTTGATGTGTCTGAATGAGCTTTACCCACATTCTTCAATTATGAAAAGTTTAATGTTTCCACAGTAATACTTCTCTGCACTTACATAAGAGAAAAGAAAGTGTCTGAAATGAACGCTATGAGGGAGAGGGATTCATAGGATGTGAATCGCAGTGTTGGCAGACTTCTGTGCAGGCATAAAAAAACAGACAGGTCCTACATCAACAGCAGCCGCATAAATCTGCAAAAACACAAGAAGATATGTTTTATCATAATATATTATTTTTTCAGGGTAAACCTTTTGATGCTGGGGCTCATGACTCCTGTATTGTGTGTGTGCGCGTGTTTTTTGTGTGGAGGGTGATTGTTCTTAGTTCCCTCTGATAAGGGATGTACGTGCGTGTATGTGTGTACAGACGTGCAACTGTGATATAATTAAAAGTGCCTTAATAATAAGAAAATATTAATACAGTACCAGTAAGTAATATGATGTTCATTTATCTAAATGCTGATTATACGATCTGTGTGCTTTATTGATGTCTAATCTGAGTTTGATTGGTTATACAGTGGGGGAAAAAAGTATTTAGTCAGCCACCAATTGTGCAAGTTCTCCCACTTAAAAAGATGAGAGAGGCCTGTAATTTTCATCATAGGTACACGTCAACTATGACAGACAAAATGAGAATTTGTTTTCCAGAAAATCACATTGTAGGATTTTTTATGAATTTATTTGCAAATTATGGTGGAAAATAAGTATTTGGTCAATAACAAAAGTTTCTCAATACTTTGTTATATACCCTTTGTTGGCAATGACACAGGTCAAACGTTTTATGTAAGTCTTCACAAGGTTTTCACACACTGTTGCTGGTATTTTGGCCCATTCCTCCATGCAGATCTCCTCTAGAGCAGTGATGTTTAGGGGCTGTCGCTGGGCAACACGGACGTTCAACTCCCTCCAAAGATTTTCTATGGGGTTGAGATCTGGAGACTGGCTAGGCCACTCCAGGACCTTGAAATGCTTCTTACGAAGCCACTCCTTCGTTGCCCGGGCGGTGTGTTTGGGATCATTGTCATGCTGAAAGACCCAGCAACGTTTCATCTTCAATGCCCTTGCTGATGGAAGGAGGTTTTCACTCAAAATCTCACGATACATGGCCCCATTCCTTCTTTCCTTTACACGGATCAGTCGTCCTGGTCCCTTTGCAGAAAAACAGCCCCAAAGCATGATGTTTCCACCCCCATGCTTCACATTAGGTATGGTGTTCTTTGGATGCAACTCAGCATTCTTTGTCCTCCAAACACGACGAGTTGAGTTTTTACCAAAAAGTTCTATTTTGGTTTCATCTGACCATATGACATTCTCCCAATCCTCTTCTGGATCATCCAAATGCACTCTAGCAAACTTCAGACGGGCCTGGACATGTACTGGCTTAAGCAGGGGGACACACCTGGCACTGCAGGATTTGAGTCCCTGGTGGCGTAGTGTGTTACTGATGGTAGGCTTTGTTACTTTGGTCCCAGCTCTCTGCAGGTCATTCACTAGGTCCCCCCGTGTGGTTCTTGGATTTTTGCTCACCGTTCTTGTGATCATTTTGACCCCACGGGGTGAGATCTTGCGTGGAGCCCCAGATCGAGGGAGATTATCAGTGGTCTTGTATGCCTTCCATTTCCTAATAATTGCTCCCACAGTTGATTTCTTCAAACCAAGCTGCTTACCTATTGCAGATTCAGTCTTCCCAGCCTGGTGCAGGTCTACAATTTTGTTTCTGGTGTCCTTTGACAGCTCTTTGGTCTTGGCCATAGTGGAGTTTGGAGTGTGACTGTTTGAGGTTGTGGACAGGTGTCTTTTATACTGATAACAAGTTCAAACAGGTGCCATTAATACAGGTAACGAGTGGAGGACAGAGGAGCCTCTTAAAGAAGAAGTTACAGGTCTGTGAGAGCCATAAATCTTGCTTGTTTGTAGGTGACCAAATACTTATTTTCCACCATAATTTGCAAATAAATTCATAAAAAATCCTACAATGTGATTTTCTTGATTTTTTTTCTCTGAATTTGTCTGTCATAGTTGACGTGTACATATGATGAAAATTACAGGCCTCTCTCATCTTTTTAAGTGGGAGAACTTGCACAATTGGTGGCTGACTAAATACTTTTTTCCCCCACTGTACCTAGGGATTCCTATAGTGGCGCATTGCATTTCATAGTGTCAATTTAAAGAGGGATAATAAAGGATTCATTGAGCCATTGTAATGTATAAATGAGACAATACTGTGTTATTGAACAATTGTAACAGCTATGTAATTTGAGAGAATATATTTTGTGCATTTGTGAAACATTATATTTTGTACCTATGTAAATGGTTGATGATTTTATATGAAAGACTCATTACAAGTGACTTGAAGCCGAAGCTACATCTCTGTATGATTGATTTTCTATATTTCCCCCTTTCAGGAGTATAACACAATCTGTACAAAACATGTCAACAATCCATCAGAGTGGTTATGTAATGTGGCATCTACATCTGATCATGACACTTTTAATTTCATTCTCCTAACCTTAAACCTTTTGCTAACCCTACCCCAACTCCTAAACTTAACCCTTACCCCTAGCCTAGCTAACGTTAGCCAGCTAGTTAATGTTAGCCATCTAGCTAGAATTTGTAACATATCATACGTTTTGCAAATTTGTGACATATAATACGAATTGTAATTCGTAACATATCATAAGAAATGGGTGATGGACATCCATATATGAATACATACCATATGAAACGTAACATATCATGCTAAATGGAGTGTCTCGGATTTACGTACAGAATAATACGAAATGCTCTGAGACCTCAGCCAGCCCAAGGAAGAAAACAGAAACCACTCTTTATTACAACCACATCTAGCGGCTACCGGAGGTTACTGAAGTAACCCCGATTTTATGACCCAAGCGCAAATTCTTTCGGACCCCATTTTCAAATCAGGCGCAACACCTAGTTTGGCTTTAAACAGAACGGTAATGGCGCCAAACAAAGACATGGGGACATGTTTTCCCGCGCTGCACATCCAGATCCCGTGTCGATCAAATCAGTAGCCTGCTGACTCTAATAACTAAGCTAAGAGGTTGTCGCACCGGTCTGAGTGTCAAGAACTGCAACGCTGCTGGGTTTTTCACAATCAACAGTTTCCCGTGTGTATCAAGAATGGTCCACCACCCAAAAGATATCCAGCCAACTTGACACAACTGTGGGTTCCATTAGAGTCAACATGGGCCAGCATCCCTGTGGAACGCTTGACACCTTGTAGAGTCCATGCCCCGACGAATTGAGGCTGTTCTGAGGCCAAAAGGGGAGCAACTCAATATTAGGAAAGTGTTCCTAATGTTTTTTTACACTCAGTGTATGGTTCAATTCTGACAATTCTTTACAGATCCTTGCACCGACTGGACCAATATTCCCAAGACAGTTGGTATATACTGTATAACTTTTTACTGTCTTAGATTATAATCGTTGGTTAGGGTGCTCATTCACACTGATTTGTGAGATCATCAGCAGTCAGGAACAACTCATGATCATTCAGTATATGTAATAAACGTGGAATTGGATAAGTACTTCACTTATCACCAGTCACTTTAAGAGCAGTTTTCCCCCTGTGCTGTGCTATATGCCATGCATCTAGGCCTGCTGTTTTTATTTTACTGATGATGTAATAATGCTACCTCACACTTGTACTTTCAAATACAGTTCTTTGTAATGCCTACTTCTTGAAATAACTTAAGATCAATACGTTTGTAGTTACAATTGACTTAATTTGTAGTGCATAACACGTTCTTTAATTTGTTTGAATATCAGCTATGTGGTGGATGCATAGATGGATGTTTATTTTGTGTTTGCTTTTAATTAGTTGTGTGATGATTCAAGTGCACAATACTTAAATCTGTCATTTTGAAACGCTTTCTTAATCTTTCGGCTATTTCTTGGACAGATACCCTACTCCAAGAACACCAGGAGCTCTTGGACAGTTCCGATGTCCACGGTGAGGCCTCACCACCTCCGCTCAACTGCCTCATCAGACTGGGCTACCAGACAGAAAATGTCTTCAAAAAGGTGGAAGGAGGCGAAGCCATATTTCATTGACAACTGGCTGGCAGGAGAGGCTCATCACCCAGATATCAACAGTGAGGTACCAACCCAGCTGTCGTGCGCTGTAGAAATGGCCTTCCGTGTCCTTTCTTCGTGTGTCGATTGTGACACAGCCAGGCATTCCATTTTTGTGCTCCACAATCGGAATGCCATAGTTAAAGGCTTTTTTACTGTTTTAAAGATCACTCATTTTATTTACCTTCCTTGCCATGTTGAATATCCTTTGTCGTTAATTGTATTCTGATATCTGATGTTTTTATGTAGCTCGTTTTCTGCCTGTAGAGATACTTCAACCTTTTTGCCTGTGTCCACAACCGGCAATTACGGTTTGCCCTGGCAGGTCTGTTGTACTTGTAACCATGAGTGGTAAGGATGCAGTGTATCTTGATTAATTTTGTCTTAATCCTCTCTTTAGGTCGTTAGAATCTGGCATTGCCAGAGCTCCATTGTGAGACCTACAAGGAGGCCAGTACAGCAGGCATGAAAGACCTGCAAAGGAGTGGCTACTGATCTGTCACCATCAACTTTGCATCGTCATCTCAACAGACGTGTTCTCTTCATATGAAGAGATGAAGATGGCTGCGCCAGTATGTCACGTCAAGCATTTTTGACAATGCTTGACCAGAGGACAGAGCGTTTTGGCAGAGTAAGTTTCATCCTCATTATTCTAATGCAAGACTGACAGACTGATTGTAATGCAAGACTGGTGGAGGCTATTTTATAATTTACTGCTATTTTTATCAGACAGGAAAAACCACAGTTATCTTCTAAACTTATCTTCTAGACAAGGCGAGAGAGAGAGATTCCAAAGTACAACAGAAATGTTTAATTCTAAATACATATCCAAAAGCCTGTTGATTTGAATTGCTTATTCAGTGGCCCTCGCCTTCTTCCTGTAGATGTGAGGCTGACTGAGCCTGAGGTCCTGAATGTCCCAATGGAAGAGCGCAGACAGGAATCAGAGCCCAAACGTTTACTCATGGACCTGAGCAAGGAACACATCAGCGAGATGGACAGGAGAGTGACACAAGGTAAGGAGGAATGATAAAAATAAAGTTATATCCACTGCTGGAAGTCTCTCTCTCTCTCTCTCTCTCTCGCCCCCTCTTTGATTCTCTCTCCCTGATTCTCTCCTCTCCATTGTACACTCCTTCTGTGGACGAGTACAGACAGGGAACCGAGAACTCCCAGAAAACTCTGGTGGACATCAAGCCTGTCGAGATTGAGAGAACTGACATACTGACACCTTGGGGGTAGAAAGAGTGTGTGTATACTGATGGGGTCTGCTTGCTGTAAAGCCCTATCTTAACCATTTACAATTGTCTGTCCCCACTCTCCAGGCTGCCAGCCAGTCCCAGTTAAGCGGAGTACGTACAGACCTGAGTCAGCTCCACTATGCCCTGGGGGACGTGAAGGACATCCAGATCTCCCCGGCAGACATCAGCAAGGACTGGAAGCAAAGCATTAACATAATTGAATCCTGAAGGACGTACAATATGCTGGGATGCAACACAGTCAGATTGCTTCAGCTATGGAGAACCTGAATAATTTATTTTCAGGTATGCTCAGCTGCAACATAAGATGCCACTTGATTGGGAACTATTATTGTTGGCTTGCATTGCATTTTGATGTGGCACTGTACGGCAGGGCTCTTCAAGCCTCCATCCTGTAGGTTTTCAATCCAACCATAATCTAGCTCACCTGATTCTAATTATTAGCTGGTTGATAAGCTAAATCAGGTAAATTAACACTGGGATTGGAGCGAAAACCTACAGGAGGGTAGATCTCCTGGAACAGGGTTGAAGAACCCTGCTGTACGGTAACAATATATTCGTGTATTGATATTCCTCCTCCCTTCCTGTGCAGTGCCTGAGATGGTGGCAGACACTCCATTAATGATAGAGCAAGCCGAGCTGCTGGAGGGCCGCCACAAGCTGATGAACCTGGAGTGCTCATGGAATGACCTCATGTACGATTAGTACCGCATGGGCAGCAAGAACACACACAACATGAACCTCATTCAAGACTACTTTGGCAAGGTGCAGGGCCTGTCGGAAGACCTGGCCAAGCAGCTGTGGATAGTGCTGTAGCGCGCAATGGGCAAGGCTGGAGGTCACAGCGAGCAAGCGCATCCAGGGCACCCAGTCGATGACACGCGAGTCTGACAAAAGGTGGCTGAACAATCACGAACCTAAAACCTCAGTTTTGAGTTACAGCAGCACACTGACAATCTGCTACAGATGTTGTTTACAATTAGGGCCCTGTGTTTTGCGCAATCATTTGACATAGCAATACTTTATCCTGTATTCTAAGCCTTATCCAGCCATAACGTTATGGACGAGTTCAGACAGGGAACCGAGAACACCAAAAATGAAAAGCAGTTGTCTGAGGATGGTGCTGGACCATCTGACAGAAAAAGAAAAAGAAAATAGGGCAAAAAGCTTTCATCAAACTGTCCGTGCACTCATCTCCTCACAATTCGACTACTGCAACTCATTACTCTCAGGCATCAACTCAAGCTCCCTCCATAAGCACCAAATTGGTCCACCCGGTCAACAAGTCAATCCACGAAGTGTTTACGATGATGAACGAGTGAGTGACAACCACCATGTGTGAATGAAAAATAAACCCAGATCTGTTCAAAGTGAAGCTGTAAAGTACTGTGATTATGAAGCTTGTGACATACATTCCAAATGAAGAAATATAGACTAAAAACATAATTATTTTATTGCCAGGGACGGATATAAGACCCAATTTGATGAAGAGGGCCGTGTGGTCTGGAGAGACATCATTCTGCCTATCCCAACCGACCCTGGAGAGAAAGTGGATGTAAGTCAACACACACACAAACACACACACACAGTGGGTTTGTTTACTCATTGCTGAGTCTTCTGACAGATGGGGAGGATAAAGTGTCCATTGCTGTTGGTCGTCGGGGAGGATGATCAGAACTGGGCGACAGTGAAATCTGCAGAGGACGTGAGTACAAACACGATTAAAATCTTCTTATGAAATCAATAATTGTCATTGATGCTGAATGTGACCTCTGACCTGCAGATGGCCCAGATGATGCGTGCAGCGGGTAATGAGCACCTACTGACCATTCTAAAATACCCTGATGCTGGACACCTCATTGAGCCGCCCTACACACCCCACTTCAGAGCCAGCAACTTCATAGTGCCTCAAACACGACAGAAAGGTACTGTACACACACACAGCTCACACCTATAGTATACACATCTGAACTAAGATATATGTATAACCAATTCTTTACTCGCAAAGTAACTAATGATTGTGTGTGTGTGTTGCAGTGATCATGTTGTGGGGAGGGTACCCAAAGCCGCACGCCGATGCTCAAGAAGACTCCTGGGAAAAGAGCCTTGGCTTTCTACGGCAACACCTGTACCCCAGCCATGCCTCTGGCCCTAAGGCCAAGCTGTGATGTCACACCCGAGTAGCCTCCAGGACCGAGTATGATTGACTAAGCTATAACTTTATATACTATTTTATATGTTATTGTATTTAATTTGTGACAAGACTGAATGCTTGAATGAGAAAGTCGTCCGACCAGTGGACACAGCTGTAGAATATAAATTGATGGCTGATGGTGAGTGTCCACAGTAGTGGGTCAGAGTCTCTCATTCACTGTACTGTAGGAGTTTCAAGCTGCCAATAGTATTAACACCTGTGCCTATAACCTAACTGCCATAGTACACAGATGACTGATTCTATTTTTTGATTAATGAGGAAATAATAGGAAATGTATTGTCTATGATGTTTATAATAAATCAGAGGAAGAATATGAACAATATCTGTTGTTATTGAGAGCATTGGAGCTATTTGGTATGTCTCTTGTAGTTCTTCAATATACCACACGAGGGTAATGTATGCACATAGCACGTGTATTGGTGGGCAATGGATGAGTCCTGGGGCTGTTTTTCAAATGTCTCAGAGTAGGAGTGTTGATCTAGTATAAGGATCCCCCTGTCCATTTAATCTTATTCATAATGATCTGAAATCCAGAACTGATCCTAGATCAGCACTCCTGCTCTGAGATGTTTCATACAGTGGGGAGAACAAGTATTTGAAACACTGCCGATTTAGCAGGTTTCCCTACTTACAAAGCATGTAGAGGTCTGTAATTTTTATCATAGGTACACTTCAACTGTGAGAGACGGAATCTAAAACAAAAATCCAGAAAATCACATTGTATGATTTTTAAGTAATTAATTTGCATTTTATTGCATGACATAAGTATTTGATCACCTACCAACCAGTAAGAATTCTGTCTCTCACAGATCTGTTAGTTTTTCTTTAAGAAGCCCTCCTGTTCTCCACTCATTACCTGTATTAACTGCACCTGTTTGAACTCGTTACCTGTATAAAAGACACCTGTCCACACACTCAATCAAACAGACTCCAACCTCTCCACAATGGCTCCACAATAAAATTGTAGACCTGCACAAGGCTGGGATGGGCTACAGGACAATAGGCAAGCAGCTTGGTGAGAAGGCAACAACTGTTGGCGCAATTATTAGAAAATGGAAGAAGTTCAAGATGACGGTCAATCACCCTCGGTCTGGGGCTCCATGCAAGATCTCACCTCGTGGGGCATCAATGATCATGAGGAAGGTGAGGGATCAGCCCAGAACTACACGGCAGGACCTGGTTAATGACCTGAAGAGAGCTGGGACCACAGTCTCAAAGAAAACCATTAGTAACACATTACGCCGTCATGGATTAAAATCCTGCAGCGCACGCAAGGTCCCCCTGCTCAAGCCAGCGCATGTCCAGGCCCGTCTGAAGTTTGCCAATGACCATCTGGATGATCCAGAGGAGGAATGGGAGAAGGTCATGTGGTCTGATGAGACAAAAATATAGCTTTTTGGTCTAAACTCCACTCGCCGTGTTTGGAGGAAGAAGAAGGATGAGTACAACCCCAAGAACACCATCCCAACCGTGAAGTATGGAGGTGGAAACATCATTCTTTGGGGATGCTTTTCTGCAAAGGGGACAGGACGACTGCACCGTATTGAGGGGAGGATGGATGGGGCCATGTATCGCGAGATCTTGGCCAACAACCTCCTTCCCTCAGTAAGAGCATTGAAGATGGGTCGTGGCTGGGTCTTCCAGCATGACAACGACCCGAAACACACAGCCAGGGCAACTAAGGAGTGGCTCCATAAGAAGCATCTCAAGGTCCTGGAGTGGCCTAGCCAGTCTCCAGACCTGAACCCAATAGAAAATCTTTGGAGGAAGCTGAAAGTCCGTATTGCCCAGCGACAGCCCCGAAACCTGAAGGATCTGGAGAAGGTCTGTATGGAGGAGTGGGCCAAAATCCCTGCTGCAGTGTGTGCAAACCTGGTCAAGACCTACAGGAAACGTATGATCTCTGTAATTGCAAACAAAGGTTTATGTACCAAATATTATGTTCTGCTTTTCTGATGTATCAAATACTTATGTCATGCAATAAAATGCAAATTAATTACTTAAAAATCATACAATGTGATTTTCTGGATTTTTGTTTTAGATTCCGTCTCTCGCAGTTGAAGTGTACCTATGATAAAAATTACAGACCTCTACATGCTTTGTAAGTACGAAAACCTGCAAAATCGGCAGTGTATCAAATACTTGTTCTCCCCACTGTATATAGGCTGCAGTCTAAACCAGGGTTTCCAAAACTCGGTCCTGGGGCCCCACCCTGGGTGCATGTTTTGGTTTTTGACCTAGCACTACACAGCTGATTCAAATAACCAACTCATCATCAAGCTTAGATTATTTGAATCAGCTGTGTAGTGGGCAAAAACTAAAACGTGCACCCAGATGGGGCCCCACCACCGAGTTTGGGAGATCCTGGTCTAAATTGTAAAATAAACCCCATTGAACTTGATGAATAGGGTGATCATAAAACTAATAAACACATCTTGATTTTACCATTCAAAATCCAAACACAATCCAGGCAAATTACTTCAGCACTGAGAAAGGAATCATCTTTAACTTTCAGTGTTCAGGGAGATGCTGTGTCTATTTACTGAGGGGTAACTATGGGCATCTGTCTCTGCCATTTGTCATAACTGTGTCCAACTCAACCAAGGCAAGCTCAAGGCAGCTGGGACCATAGTCACCAAGAAAACAATTGGTAACACACTACGCCGTGAAGGACTGAAATCCTGCAGCGCCCGCAAGGTCCCCCTGCTCAAGAAAGCACATATACATGCCCGTCTGAAGTTTGCCAATGAACATCTGAATGATTCAGAGGAGAACTGGGTGAAAGTGTTGTGGTCAGATGAGACCAAAATGGAGCTCTTTGGCATCAACTCAACTCGCCGTGTTTGGAGGAGGAGGAATGCTGCCTATGACCCCAAGGACACCATCCCCACCGTCAAACATGGAGGTAGAAACATTATGCTTTGGGGGTGTTTTTCTGCTAAGGGGACAGGACAACTTCACCGCATCAAAGGGACGATGGACAGGGCCATGTACCGTCAAATCTTGGGTGAGAACCTCCTTCCCTCAGCCAGGGCATTGAAAATGGGTCGTGGATGGGTATTCCAGCATGACAATGACCCAAAGCACACGGCCAAGGCAACAAAGGAGTGGCTCAAGAAAGAAGCACATTAAGGTCCTGGAGTGGCCTAGCCAGTCTCCAGACCTTAATCCCATAGAAAATCTGTGGAGGGAGCTGAAGGTTTGAGTTGCCAAACGTCAGCCTCGAAACCTTAATGATTTGGAGAAGATCTGCAAAGAGGAGTGGGACAAAATCCCTCCTGAGATGTGTGCAAACCTGGTGGCCAACTACAAGAAACATCTGACCTCTGTGATTGCCAACAAGGGTTTTGCCACCAAGTACTAAGTAATGTTTTGCAAATCAAAATACAAATCAATTTATAACATTTTTGACATGCATTTTTCTGGATTTTTTTGTTGTTATTCTGTCTGTCACTGTTCAAATAAACCTACCATTAAAATTATAGACTGATCATGTCTTTGTCAGTGGGCAAACGTACAAAATCAGCAGGGGATCAAATACTTTTTTCCCTCACTGTAGACCAAACTGACATAAATAGGCTATACAGACAGTTAAGACGTATTACTTAGGCTATAGACTGCGCAAACTGGAGACCTGGGGTAGATTATTGTGACGACAATGGAATAATTTGATTATCAGTTCAGTGCATGTGAGTTAACTCATAATGAATTGCCTTGATGAGGTGTGAATGTAGCTGATGTTATTCGTTCTGCTGTGGCTTGAATTAACAGACAGTGCGCAATATTGAAAACCAACAGAATCACCTAAAGGGCATACATACAGTTGAAGTCGGAAGTTTACATACACTTAGGTTGGAGTCATTAAAACTCGTTTTTCAACCACTCCACAAATTTCTTGTTAACAAACTATAGTTTTGGCAAGTCGGTTAGGACATCTACTTTGTGCATGACACAAGTAATTTTTCCAACAATTGTTTACAGACAGATTATTTCACTTATAATTCACACTATCACAATTCCAGTGGGTCAGAAGTTGACATACACTAAGTTGACTGTGCCTTTAAACAGCTTGGAAAATTCCAGAAAATTATTGTATGGCTTTAGAAGCTTCTGATAGGCTAATTGACATCATTTGAGTCAATTGGAGGTGTACATGTGGATGTACTTCAAGGCCTACCTTCAAACTCAGTGCCTCTTTGCTTGACATCATGGGAAAATCTAAAGAAATCAGCCAAGACCTCAGAAAAAAAATGGTAGACCTCCACAAGTCTGGTTCATCCTTGGGAGCAATTTCCAAACGCCTGAAGGTACCACGTTCATCTGTACAAACAATAGTACGCAAGTATAAACACCATGGGACCACGCAGCCGTCATACTGCTCAGGAAGGAGATGCGTTCTGTCTCCTAGAGATGAACATACTTTGGTGCGAAAAATGCAAATCAATCCCAGAACAACAGCAAAGGACCTTGTGAAGATGCTGGAGGAAACAGGTACAAAAGTATCTATATCCACAGTAAAACGAGTCCTATATCGACATAACCTGAAAGGCCGCTCAGCAAGGAAGAAGCCACTGCTCCAAAACCACCATAAAAAAGCCAGACTACGGTTTGCAACTGCACATGGGGATAAAGATCATACCTTTTGGAGAAATATCCTCTGGTCTGATGAAACAAAAATAGAACTGTTTGGCCATAATGACCATCGTTATGTTTGGAGGAAAAAGGGGGTGGCTTGCAAGCCGAAGAACATCATCCCAACCGTGAAGCACGCGGGTGGCAGCATAAGGCCATGGTGGTGCTTTGCTGCAGGAGGGACTGGTGCACTTCACATCATGAGGAAGGAAAATGATGTGGATATATTGAAGCAACATCTCAAGACATCAGTCAGGAAGTTAAAGCTTGGTCGCAAATGGGTCTTGCAAATGGACAATGACCCCAAGCATACTTCCA